TCAATAGGTAAACAAACAACCCCAAAGACTACTTTATCGGTATGTAAAATCATGTCATTAAATATTAAAATATATTATTTAAATTATCGCGAAGATTTTGTTTATTATAAAAAGTGAGATATTCAAAAAAATTACCATCATATAAATAAATTAAATGTTGACTTTCTCATTGATAAAATTAGGTACATGTTAAAATATTTATTATTGTTAATATAATCAATCTTTATAAACATAATATATTTCACTTGAAAATAAAATTTAGTAAATATAATATATACCAACTCATCATTTATTCCAAAGAATAAAATAATTTTAATAAGCATTTATGAAAACATTGTAAATGAAAGAATTAAAGTAAATAAATAAATAAACACAATGAAACATTAAAAAATTAGCAAATGCTAAAATTCACACAATTTTCGATTTATTGTATGAATCATCATTAACCTATACATATCTAAAGTTACAATGTTATCATGTATGATTAAGGGCTGTGTAGTTGAGATAGGAGAGCAAAAAATAGAATGTAATTTTATTGCCCAGTGTGTTCTGAAATGAAAATTGGATTTTTAAAGCTGTATTTAGCGTCTAGATATGAAAATATATAATAAGACAAAATATGACATGACATAATAGTTTTACAGCTTTTGATAAGACAAAAAACTGGACATAACAGAATAAGTAAAATAACCAATTTATCCATAAGAACAACATTTGATAAATAATGTTTGTATTAGTAATATATTTATAATTAAACAATATAACTAAAACAAAATTAAAATAAAAACACAAAAACACAAAAAGAAAAAAAGAAATGATTACATAGGTATAGGGGTGTCATTAGTTTTTCTCTCATTTATCTATATTATATTATAAAACATTTGACAAAAACTTTTAAAAATTATCTTTTATACATGAAGTACTGCTTATTGATGCATATTACTTAAAATTTAAGATTATAAGCAAGTTTTGCGTAAGTATAACTTATTAAAGGTTCATGTTTAAATTCGTATAACTAACTGCAGATAAATATAATCAAATACAGGATAAATATCTCATTTTAAATATAAAAAAATCTTAAATATAATTAGGATAATCATTGAGTTCTAACATAATACTTAATGATTATATTTAAAATTATATTATCAAACCTAAATTAAATTATTTCATTACGTTAAATTAAATAATAATAAAAATTTTGAATTATAGAAATTACTCAAAACAATAACTTTTAAATAGTTAATTTGATACTAATATTGATATATTTTTTTCAAAATTTTATTCTATTAAAAAATAAAAACATCCATCACTTTCTCAAAACCACATAAAACGTATTTCATCGACATAGATAAAAAAGAAAACGAAACATTAAAATCAAGATGTGTCTCGATGCATTGCATGAGTACCCTTCTAGTTCCTTTTAAAGCAAACATAAATGTTTTAAGACTTCTAAATTTTTATTGTTTAAACGATAAAACATTTCCAAACAAAAATTTTTATAACCTTATTTTGTATAACTGTATCTTAAACATGTTTTTCCCTTTTAAAAGACATGTTCTTCAAGTTTTTGTAAATGAAAAATTAAAATATTAAAAAAAATTACATCGACAAGTTTTTCATTTTTAATTTTAAAACATTAAATATAATATTAAAATATTTAATACATTTAATAAAACTAGAAGCGTACTCGCGCAATGCAGCGAGATACATCATGATTTTAATATTTCATTTTATTCTTTATCTCAGTCGATGTTATAATATGGCTTTATGTGATTTTGAGAAA